AAGTCAACAGGTTTATTGGTGAGGGGTACAATGCATAGAGAGAGAGATATAGAAAGCAGGTATTTCTCAGCGGGGAATCCAGTGGTCTGGTGAACCGGAACCGTAAACTCTAAGGGGGAGATCACAGGATGAGTTCACGGTCCGTAGGGAAACTGAACAAGGCTGATGAATTGTTTTGAGTGGACTCACGTTTGAGGGTTTCTTGGTGATCCTTGGGTCCTGTTTGTGGGGAATTAGTCCAGAGGTGCAGAACTCATTGGAGGTCGGACAGGCAGACTAGAGTTGGGTACAGAGAGGCAAAGGAACGGACTGTCACTGGGTTTTCCAGAGGCGGGCTTGAACGGCTCAGGTGAAGGTTTTCCCTTACTCAGAGAGATGAAAGGTTTATCCAGCAGATCAGGAGGGTTTCCTATGGGAGAACACAAAAAGAGACAAAGGCAAAAGCTTAGACTCAGAGAGACAAAGGCAAGAATTAGACTCAGCTAATCTCAGGAGGCTAGAGTACCCAATACTGGAAAACACTTTGGCGTCGAGGTGGTGACGGTCCGCTGCTCAAGTACTCCTCTGGTAATGACCCAACAAGCTGCAGGTGAGGAGGAAAAACCCAGAAGCGTCCCTCCAAGCCAGAACAGGGAAAGAGCACCATCTGGAGGTGGAAACAAAAACACAAAAAACACAAAAAACAAACCCCGTAAACAGAAACCTAACATGTGCCACATCGGTGCATAAGGAAACAAAAGACTCTTCTTCCCACTGATCAAGAGAGTGCTGGTCCTTGTGTAATTCCAGTTCGTTATTAGCCCTTTGATTGAGCATCTCTGCCTACCACAGATTGGATGACCTTCCCAGATCCCTCTATTGGGTCTGCTAAGTAGATCGGATTGAAACGCAACCTGACTTGCCAATACTTTATTCAGATTAATACTGAACGAGGAAAAAGCAGTGTGTGGCATTGTGTTGCTGTTTGTACACACTCACCCTACCGTGACTGGTTCAATTGAAGCCTCATCTCCATATAGTTTGTATGTAATTACATCTGAGCGGCGAACTGAGTGCCTCTATATGATTGTGTTTGGAGACTTGCTGGGATTTGTGTGTGCTCGTGTGTCCAGAGTAATTCATGGTCAATTTGTGAGCTTGTGCGACTATAAGCAAACCTTTCTACAACTCTAATGGAGGTTTGTGTGTACTAGGTTGTGTTAGAATGAGGCAATTTATGGCAAATGCAATAGCATTGACATTTGTTTTGATGGCAATAGTTGTATTAGTGCATTCAGAGTACATATTCACATCTGTAATACTCATGTAATGTATGATTGTGCAACTGAGTGTAGAACAACTATGTTTTGTTAGAAAGACAAGGCAGCATGATTAGCGTGGAGTGTTTCTCTAGTGGACTGTTGGTCACTTGCATGGTTTTTAACAATGTGGCCAACAGATATCTGCTTATCTGCTGTAAAAAGCAAATCGAACCTAGCACAAAATGTCTTCATCCATTGGTTTCTTTTAAAGAGAAAAAGCTTGCTGGAATTTACACTTCAATTCAGACTTTCTAGTGAATTTCTACTTTGTTTATTGACAATGTTGTATCACTGTTACTTATTTAGGTAATTTATAACAGCATTTAAAGATGTCTCAAAATGAATTTAAATAGACCTATATGGGCTGGCCACTCATTTGGGTCAAGTTAAGTTATGGCTCTTTCCCCTTTCGATACATAATAGTAAGTTTAGCCCTTTTTAAATTGTCTCCAATGGCCAAATATCTTATGTTTGTCTATGGATCTTTACTTGTTCAGATCATAGCTCAGAACTGTTAGTCAGTCAATCGCTTTTCTGTGGTTGACCATTGCTTTATGACTTTAGCTCTATTTTGGGTCATTGTCAAGTTGAAGGTCCAACATGGCACATGATATCACAACAAAGCAAAGAGAACACCAATTGGTCAGTGAGGTGAGGAAGGTGGACCACAGGCATAGTGTAACAATACTTTGTGTCACACTATGCTTTGGGGAACTTTCCATCTACTTCCATTGATATTACACTCATTTCTAAGGCCTAACCCTCATCGTAACCATTACCAACACGTAACTAAACCTAACTTAAACTTAATACGCACCTTGGTCCTAAACCTAACTTCTCATGTTTATTTATGAATGTATTATTGGGCTCCTTTTGTTTTACCTCTGCACTTAAAAACAAATAGTGTAGCTTACATTCTCAACAAACCATTCAAATGGCTGCTCCTTGGGTCAGAACAGAACTGGGTAAGACAGCATTTAAATATGCTGCCACTTTCACTTGCAGCCTTGTAAATGTGCCTACTTTCAGATAGCGTGGACTCTCAAAAAAACATCAGATTTCCATGTCTGACCCATAATCGGAAATCACACTTTCCAAATCATTACAAAATTGTCAAATTGCCCCACAATAGACTTGTGTCCTTAGTTTCTGTGACTGGTCACATTTAGTTCATTGGCTCTGTCTAGACCGCTATATTGTTGAAGCAGGCTATTACCTTATATAGGCTAGTTGCATGATCGTACACTTTCTTAGCAACAAAATGTAAGGTCAAGTGTGAGTCTTGGTAACAACATGGTCTCTAAGGCTGCTTCGTACACAATTAGATGATGTATGAGGGGGTTTGGCAAAACAGAAAACATCTATATAAACATTCTTTGAGGGTCGAAGTAACTTTGGCGCAAATCAGCACACGTGAATTCCAGTAAGATGTCGACACAATATTCCATTGTGCGTGTGCATCCACACTGTGCAAAAACTGAGACTATAAGACAGAGTGGAATGGACTGTGAGTTGAGGAGAAAGCAGATATGGTCTAAAGAAATGTAAAGCGCTGTGATACGTGTACTGAGGACAGCATGTCAATTTGATCTATAAAATGAATGCTTCTTCTCCTGTCCTGGGGCAATATGATGATCAACTGAAGGTGTCCTGATTTTTGAGATTCTACCATTGAAAGACACCACAATATGATCATTCCTCTGCTGCTATGATCATCCACTTTCATAACTGGGCTGCATTAATGAATCTTCACAGTAACATATCCTGACACAATCTGTTGTTCATAAACTTTGGACATATTTTCTAAAGATTTCAAGTTGCCCATAATGATTTCAAGATTTCTTGTCCTGTTTTACCACGATAGCTGTGCGATAGATAATATTCCAACCCATTTACATTCACAAGCAGACCAATATGGCTGTTGCCATAAGGTTACGCTTTTCAACAGCCCAACTCTGGACTTGAGTGGTGTTTTGTTATAGGACTTCTGCTCAAGACAGGGGTTGTTCATGATACTGTATACACCATTTTTCAAACATAGAATGTCTATTGGTACACTTTGCACCAGGACACCCTAGGCCAGAGTTCGATGATCGACTTTGCAGTCAAAGTCTTTGGCTTTTGGCTCCATATATTGGTCACTCAGGTGAAGAAAGGGGTGCAATTGTCCACCAGCCCGCCTGGCAGGTTTGTGGGTTTGCTGGAGCAGTAAGCCGTTTTGTGAAGCCAAAAGTGCCACTACACAGGTGGTTGTGGAGGCAAACACTCAGGCCTGGCAAGAGTTTGGTTAAGTAAGACCTGGTACCAGTGTATTAGAATCCAACAGGGCTGCTCTATGTCACTGGTCTTATTCATAACATTTATAGTCAGGATTTCTAGGTGCGGCCAAGTGCCAGGGTTGGTTTGGTTCGCTGACCAGCAGATTTCATACTTGCGTTTTGTGGATGATGTAGTTCTGCTGGCACCCTCCTGCCAAGACCTACTGCATGACCTGGGCTGGTTTACAGCCAAGTGTGAAGAGCTGGAATTTTTTTGAATCCCTGCTTTAAGTCTGAGCCACTGTGCTTGAGTAAAAAATATGGCTTTTTCCCTTTCAGGTTGGAGGAGAGCTCCTGCCTCAAGTGAAGGATTTCAAATATGTTGAGTTCCTGTCTTGGAGTGGAGCAGAACATGGATAGATGGATCGATGGGGCTGCTGCTTAAATGCAAATGCTGCACCGATCTATTGCCTGGTGTCCTACCCTCAGCTATGGTCATGAGACTAGATCATGACTGACAGAACAAGATTCCGGATATAAGAGGCTGAAATTAGCTTTTTATGCAGGGTGGCTGGGCCGTCTCTTATAGATAGGATGAAGAGCTCAGTCATTCGCAAGAGGCTCAGACAGTTTCAGAGTACAACCGCTTCTCCTCCCTATTGAGAGGTGTTAGCTGAGGTGGCTCGGACATCTTTTTTTAATCCCCCCTGGAGACCTCCCTTGGGAGATGTTCCAGCCATGTCCCACTGGGAGGGGCCCAGAGGATGACCCCAGACATGCTATAGGGACTATGTCTCTGAAGGAGGCATCTGGAGGAATTAAATCCGGTAGTCTCTGCTGAGACTGCTGCCCCTGAGACAGAGTCCTTGATGAAATAGAGGATAATGAGTACCATTACAACTATAAGTACAGGTGGCAACCCTTCTTCTTGGGTTGTTGCAATAATGTATTGTTAAGTTCTGATTCTGGTGATTTTACTGTTCTGTGTCTTAATGCCCTCATTGATACTTTGACATGTTAGATTGTGATGATGTAATCAATCTGTAATATTAAAGGCACAGTCTTGAAAATGTTTATGTCCTACTTATCCAGCTGGTAACGCTGTCAACCTATGCTGAGCCCCTTAAATACGGGGTACCTTGAGGTTTCTTGATTGGTCCTATTTTACACTTGTTTTACCTGCTTCATTTACCTACCTGCTATTTACCTTTATGATCCAAAAGTTTTCGATCATAAAAGTAAGTTAATTTCATTCTGGGTTAGCCTTAGGTGTTGTGGGGTGTACATCTTAGTTTTTCTGTTGACTTATTAAATTTTTTTTAAAACCTTTATGTTAGAGGTTTTATCTTAAAAGGAATGTTCATCCATGATAATGATGATATTGGGAGAGAATGTTGGGATATATATATATTTTTTAATTCTTGTCCTGTGTTTTCTTTAGATGGAGAAAACTTCAACTCAGAGTGACATCCAGGAAAATACCCTAAAGACCATGTCAGTCAAACTGGGCAACCTGTACTGCTCCTCATCCTCGAGGAGGGTTAGAGATACCATTATCACCTGGTAAGACAAAAATCACTTTGTGTTATGTTATTTTTTTCTCTTTAATTATTGGTATTGTTTTGAATAAATGTTAATTTATTTAATTGAAAGAAAGTAGAGCACATCACCCCAGTTCTAAAGTCCTTCCACTGGCTCTCTGTATCTCAGAGAATAGACTTTAAAATACTTCTGTTAGTCTATAAATCTCTGAATGGCTTAGCACCTAAATACATCACAGACTTGCTATCAGTGTATCAACCCTCCAGACCACTCAGGTCCTCTGGCTCCAGCCTGCTCTGCATACCTAGAACCAGAACTAAACATGGAGAAGCAGCATTTAGTTCCTATGC